ATGCAAGATGCTTCCTGTGACACTGAGTTCTAAAAATGTGAGCTAATCTGGCTCTGATAATCTCTTTTAGGGAACATCTGGGTTATTTGTCCAATATAACTTCCCTCAAATTATCAGTTATATTGTCCAATATAACTTTTCTCAAATTATCTCAGACTACAGAGCCATAGCGCTCATTTCACGAAAACATCAAACAACAAAGTCGAGCTGGTCTGGCCAATTCTGAGAGCACGGATAGGAAACAACACCGAAAATGATAGAATACCATGAATTTCCCCCAAAATGTGGGTAAATTCCCCGTTTCATCCCGGGACAGCTCCCGGTGCTCGCTCTCCGTGCGGGATCTGTCCGTGGTGCTGACACCCTCCTTCTCCTTCTCAATCGCAATTAAAACCTCATCAGGCAGAGGTAAAAAACAACTTATTCATAAAAAAATTCTTAGAAATCCTAGTTTGGGGCATCTAGAAATGTGCAGCTACCTTCAGTTGTGTTTTGGCAAGCAGATTCCTCGCCGTTTTTTAATAATGGTCAGCAGAGAAGATCTTGGCTAACAGCACCACGGGGTGGGGTTTTCTTGTGTTCTSAACTTTATTTTTAATAAATTTGCASTAGTATTATAYAGWTGATTAAGAAAKGWATAAAATWACGYRAGGCACTCCATCAAATGGCTCAGCAAGAACTCCRTGGATTTYAAAGAAGGTACAGAAACAATATTTTAGGCTCTCCTAACCTCAGCTGTTGTGGTATCACTGTAATAGCAAAGGAAAACATCAGGCTTGCACATTTTTATACAGGAAGTCATTAACACTGTATCTGTTTAGAACTGCAGGAAGGCATTCATTTGGTGYAAAGGTGAGTTTGAATTTCACTATATTTGAGATGGAATCAATTGGCTCATGAAGTGCTATGGAAACTTGAAAGAAAAGTCAAATGGCTCAGCCCCAAATTCATAACTCATCTTAAATTCAGTGCAGCCAACAGTAAAATGATTATTTCCTGATTTATTCACTCAAAGGAACAACTGTCCTCAATGGTTTCCTGCAGCTGCCCGGACTCCTTTGGAGCCCTTTATTCAAGCAGTCATATGAAACAACTTAACCTGTCTTTAAAAAGCCAATAGGATATAGAGCTCAGAAACTTTGACAGCCATTTCATTTTTCCTGCATATTTATCCCTTTTGATCAAGAAAAAAAATAGGAAAAAAAATTCTGTCTTTAAAAAAGAAAGAAATAAAAATTGGTTTGTTTGGTTATGATTTCTTTTTCAACCAGAAAAAGATGAGATTTCTTTTTCAAGCAGGCAGAAAGGCAGAGATGTCTTACCTGCCTGCTTTGGTGATGATCATCTCTGTCCCGATGTCATGAAATCTTTTCCAGAGGTCTGCACACTGCAGCTCCACCTGRATCTCTTCCATGGATGAAGGTGGAGGAGGCTGAGGCCCTGAGCCACCCGATGTAAGGTCAGAGTGGGAGCCAAATGAGCAGGATGTCCTTTCTGCCAGCACCTCTGTGTCCGARCCAGTGCTCTGCTCTGAGTCTGCAAAGGAAAGAAGGCAGGTGAGACACTTCAGTTCTACCTAAATGGGGGGTGAGAGAAGGAAAGGTGAAAATCAACACAGGAAGTGCTGGGGAATAATACAATGTCCTTTTATAAAGCATTTGATAAGGTATATATACATATATGTGGTGTGAATATATATGTATATGTGTGTATATACATATATATATGTATATATATGTGTGTGTATATATATGTATATATGTATATATATGTATATGTGTGTATATATATGAGTATATATATGAATGTGTGTGTATATATATGTATATGTGTGTATAAATATGTATATATATATGTATATGTGTGAATATATATGTATAAATATGTGTGTGTATATATATATATGTATGTGTGTGTATATATGTATATGTGTGAATATATATATGTGTATATATATGTATATGTGTATATATATATATTTGTATATATATATGTATATGTGTGTGTATATATATGTGTGTATATATATATGTATATATGTATATGCACATATATATTTATGGGGTTTTGTGATTTATAGCCCAATTTGGAGCTTTGAGTTTCCTGAGATCTGGCCGTTTGAGTGAAGTTTCAGAACCAGCTTCAGTGCAAAAGTTCCTCAACATGAAATAGAAATAGTAGCAAGCAATGGTGGGAGTWCAAAATACAGATGAAAAACAGAAATGAAAAAAAAAATTAATTCAACCCATTGTTTCAAGCTAAGATTAGATGGGCTCACTGGAAAACTGCATTCCATTTAATTGAATATTCTCCTGCAATACTATTAAAGAGTTGGTTATTTTTAAACAACACCGTTTTTTTTATTCCCTTTAATATCTTCATCATCAAAAACAATAAACTTTTTTTTTTTAATTTTGGTATTTGGCAGTACCATTCTGGAAATGTGTTTTATTTGCTCCTATAAAACTTTTTTTGAAGAATGATATTTCCTGGAAAGATAACCATGAAGCTTTTGGTGAGGAAAATGCT